CACTTCTGTACCTTGAACTTATCATTAAAGTTAACAAATGATTCCTGGACTTTCTTTTTCCTGAACCTGTCACCACCGTGAATATATATAGTTCCGTGAACATTTTTCTCAGACCGTGAACTTTTGCTGCCGTGAACATAAAGTAGAATGGTTTATTTCAAATTGAAAACTCCAGACATACACAATTTCAATTACCATCACATTGACAACAGACTCGCAGGCAGCCATACTGAATTGCTCCGAGGTCACAAAATGTCATTAACATATGGGTATTATTGTTAAAAAATTATTACATATTATTAAATATTGTTAAAATTTATAAATCGTAAAATATTCCTCTGCTTTAGAAAATGGATTTATAGTCAATATACATGTTAAACGTTACGCAGTAAAAAATGTTCGGTGAAAGGCTGTTGTACAACATTAGCAACAGATTACTCTTACATTGCCGTTTCAGAGATATTCAGTAACTTAACCATTTATGGTAGTGCGCTGTTTCTAAAGCGTTCGGTTCTTGTTCTAAAACAGTCAATCTGGTCACTGGACCGTGTTGTACGTACACTGATGTCCCCACGGCGGGGAGGGAACCAATGCCGGTAGTCGGGAGATTGTAAGAGTTTTTTGGCAAAAGTCAAGCAGAGGTGGTCTCGCCGTCGTTCCAAAGTCTCGAGGCCAAGTAGGAGACAGGCGTCTTCATAGTTAGTGTAGTGCCAAGGATGGTTCTGACGGCACGGCATTGGATTCTCTCCAGCTGGTTACGTTGTGCTTGTGTAAGGCCTGGTGAATCAAAGTGATTTACAGTATCTAATATCGTTTATTAATGGAAAAACTCGCATTTTAGGGAGTTCTTCAAAGTGTCCACATGGTTTATCTTGAGTTCTTTCTTCAATAGAAAACTAGGCAAACGCTGTCTGCAAGTAAGATGCAATATCATGCCTCACAGAAAATACATGGAAACGAGAATCGGTTTAGAGACGAATACGATGTATTTGTTTATTGTTTTGTTTAGTGATTTGGACATTGTAGCGTCAGTATTTATGTATGTGTAAGTGCTAATGATGTTAATCGCATTAAATGTTAGAGCCTTAGTGATGTAAGAGACTTAAGTACTTTGTTCATGGCACCCATATCAGTTGAAACCAGATCGATTTATCATGCTACTTTTGTTCATCAGTAGACAAGCTCCCGTGTTCTAACAATACCGATGTACAGGCTGTTGCATGAATGATAGTAAGGGACAGTATAGCCCAGACCTGGCTTTTCGTGTCTATGTAGAACGTAAGGTCTCAGGAAGAATAGTGTGACTTATAGCACTTATGGCGATCATAATAAAACAAACAAACAAACAACATAACCTTACATCCTTACGTAACGCTTCAGTTATCAAAGTTGGGGTAAACTTGGTAAACTGATACCTGGTGGCAAGGGATAGCATGATGCAGATTTTTGGCTATTCGAGTATGTGTAGAACTTAGGTAACGCGGATTACTTAGGTTAGTTAGTTATATTAAAGCATTAGCATGGTTGCATATGGTGGCGCCCATCTCCGTTTCGTAGCCCTTGGGCCACACAGTTGTGCAATCAATACAGCAGGGGACTAGTCCACTGGTAGTGATGTGTGTGTAACGTCTATACCATACACAAATACTGAATGCTAAGTAGAGAATTTCGAAAGCAGTATGTACCATTGTAAAGTCTTTGGTATGACTAGGCCGGGGATCGAACTCACCACCTACCGAATGCAAGCCGGGCACTCTACCCACTTGGCCATTGCACCGATTACTGAAGTTACCAGATGGTAGTTGACAGCATGACGCAAAACCTAACTCTTGGTTGTAAGCGTATGAAATTACGAGTACATGTACGTAACGCCCACGGCTATCCAAGATGGAAGATAACTTGGTAAACTGACGCCAACTCACGACCTGGCTAATCGGGCTAATGTGTTGATAATGGATTTACACGTAAGCACGCCTGGCCTCCGGGCCTTAATGCCGGATTAAGTTATTTGCTGGTTAATTCTAGGCGGAAGACATACGCCAGCTACATGGCAGTTTGATATAGGCTAAAGGTGACCTTCAAAAAATTTTACGTGGGGTCGTGTGGAGTAACGGTAGAGTGTTCGCTTCGGAACCAAGGGGTGCCGGGTTCGAACCCTGCCGTGCCACCGATCTTGTGCCCTTGGGAAAGGCACTTAACACGAATGTCCCCACTTAACTCAAGTGAAAACGACTACGTCTGTTGTCCGTGCAAAAAAAAGTGTGGATTAAAAACTTGAGTGTGGCGTTGTCATGCACTGTATTGTGATAAATGTTGGAATAGAAAAGATGTTAAAGGCATCCAGTGCAGTTTTTAGGGCTAGGAAACCAGATTTTTCAAAGTCAATATTCTAGTCACTTATTTAATTATCTACATACTAAGTGGAAACAACACTGTCCCAGTGTATATTGACATTCGTGGAGCAAAAATGCCCCAAATTCTGACAGAAAATGGTTATTGGAAGGGTCCTGGGCTGATTTTAGGGTACCACCCCGAAAATAAAGGACTCATCCTGGGGCCTGTTTCTGCAGTTTTAAATGCCCGAAGTATGAAATGCTGATTCAAATGTGCTAATGTTAAGCAGTATGTGTCAATATCACAAAGATTGCCTTATTCAGAATATTTCCAGTTTTGCTGCTCTGAAATCGCATTGGATGCCATGTTCAAGACGTTACGGTAGTAGACGACTTCGCTCTACATTAGCCTCCGTTATGTAACGTCACAGACCATGGGGGACAAATAACTACGCATAGGTTTCTGATAGATACCGGGCTATGACGATTGCTCCTGCCCGGAGATCTGATTAGTGTCCAGTCAATACATCAGATCACGGGAAGCAATCAGCAAGCAGATAGAAGATACCTGCGCGTAATTGGAAAAACATGCCCGGTGGGGATTGCAAGGGCCTAACCTGGTCATATCATACGGTATCGTGCGATCGTCGCACAATTAGCCTAGGTGCCATCTAATTTGTAGTTACGGCAACCCCGAATTTCGGATGGCACCCAGGCTATCGCACAATCGCAAACTGAGCTCGGGGGCATTCTTGGCATCGTCGTACGTCAAATGACATTTAGCTGCCTTGTTACTTGTCCCACTTATAGAGAGAGATACACTGTTGCAGACTATTACTACTAAAGCAATGTTCACCCAATCTGGAACACAGAACGATACTTTCCTTATATTGTTGCCGTGTCCAATCCCCATATATGCCTACATAGGTCAATTCCATAAGCGAGACCAAACCATCAATACATCACCATATTGTAACTAATATATTGTTATCGATAGTAGTTTGCAGTAATAATTGTAAGATAGTTTAGTTTTGTAGTATTGTTATCTTACTGCCACAGATTGTACCATGTACGATTGTCGAGCAATAAAGTTCATTCATTCATTCATCCATTGGTTTACCGAACAGAATCCTTGACGACGATTGGTTCTGTCACAGACTGTTTGAAACTCCTACAACATCAAAATCGTAGGGCGACCTACGACGTATGGGATCTGATCCTAAAGGAGTCTATGTTTTTATCAGAGAATATTGCGATATTGTAAACCTGAAGAACCTTTGCTCTAGATAGACCTGCATATACAAGATCAGTTACATACGATGGTGTACAGAGGACAAAAGCGAAACAAACCTGTATTAGCTTATATACGTTAGTATGTTTGTACTGTGTTGTCATTGGACGGTGTGCATATAAGGGAATTCAAGTCAAGTCAATGTGTAAAAGAAAACGACCAAATGCATTCTAGATGCGTGCGTTTTGTATCCTTACAAGTGATACAGTATGGCACGCTTTCAAACAGCATTTACAGCAGAGGAGTTTTTTTTCTGGTTCAGCAACTGCTGAATATTTACTTCGGATGTCGTCGCTAGAAAAGAACTTGATTTGATCAAATTTTTGATTTATTGAAATTGCAACAGTGCAATACACGCGAAACAGAGGCAGCTGTTGCTGTTGTTGTTGTTGTTGTTGTTGTTGTTGTGTCCCGCACACAGAAACGAATACTGGACAGACAATACTCATTTTCACTTGATCCTAGTGGGGAAAGTCGTGTAAAGTGCCTTTCCAAAGGGAACAAGATCGATGGCATGTCAGGAATCGAACCCGGGACCTCTTGATTCGCCACACGACCCCACTATCTTGACATTCGTGGGATCAATTGGTTGGTTACAGATGAAGCGGCTCAGGTCTCAATATTAGGGCGAACCAGAAGCAACGTTAATAGGCTTCTACCTCCTGACATGCGTCATATGATGTCTGTCTGCGACTCTACGTGATGGGAAATCCAAACCCCAGACATCCTCTTTCATCTCATGTTCAAGTTCAGTTGATCACAAGCCACTGTAATTGCATGGCGCCTAAAACCTACCGATCTACTCTACAAATCTTCTGTTTCACACTGCGTTGAGGACACGTTTTAACTTGTGCCAGCTCTATCCTGTTGGGTTTACAGATTATAATTGCTACCTAAGCCACTGAATTAGTCATAAACCCACCCTCTGTCTGCTGTAGTGTGTATTCACCACGTAAGGTCACTCATGAAGACTTAAAGCTTCATCTAAGTTTGAGTTTCCACAAACTTTAAGCTCATGGTAAAGGTGCCTGCGGTCTGGAATTCCTTTGTTGTTTATGTTTATTTATCTATTTATCCAGGAAGTACATATCGCCTTGTGGCGTTTTTCAATGGTTCCTGGGGGCAAAACCCCAAACAAAATCCATTAACAAAATGAACTCAATATTAACAAATTGATACAAATTCAAAGTATATTAAATAACATAATAGAAACAATATTGTAACCTTAACATCATATAACGTAAAACCAACTTGGTAGAACATAATACAATGACATGATGATTGAAATTTAGGAATAGATAGCATAAAAGTACAACAAAGGTCTACAATTAATAAGTAACTGTGTATTTTTCTTTTTTCATGTGTAGGTCAATCTGTCGGTGTAAGATGGAGGAGTACTACGACTTCCCCTTTGACATCTCTAACTATTCTTTCTTCGGCAACGAAACTTATCCAACGAATCCTTCCTGGGACATCATCATCTACAACATAGTGGCTCCGGTCATCCAGTGTGCCATAGGCATTACTGGACTGATAGGAAATGGGCTGATCATATACGTCATTGTCAAGTATTCAACGATGAAGACTGTACCAAATGTGTACGTCTTAAATCTGGCCGTGGCGGACTTTCTCTACTGCCTGACGTTCCCCATTTGGGCGGCAGACTACATCTTAAGGGTGTGGATCTTCGGCCAGGCCATGTGTAAGATAGTCAGGTCCATCTTCAACGTCAATACCTTTGCCAGCATCTACTTCCTGACGGTGATGAGCATCGAGCGGTACTACGCCATCCTACACCCCGTCCGGAACATCCAGAACCGCTCGCTGAAGAAGGCGAAGATCATCAGCGGATGCGTCTGGGCAGTAGCGCTGATGTGCTCGCTCCCGTACATCGTGTTCGCGGAGATCTGCAACCTGAACGGGGTCCCCGTGTGCATGTTCAACTGGCCCACCAACGGCCAGAGCGAAGACTGGTGGAGAGGCGCTAACGCCGTCTATCTTACGGCCCTGGCGTTCCTCGTACCGCTGTGTATCATGGTCCCCAACTACGTGCTGATCTACCGTAAGCTGCGGAACACCGACATCGTCCCTCCTGAGAGCCGGCGCGCGCTGCGGTCCCGACACCGCGTGACACGCATGGTGGTGGTGGTGGTGGGGATCTTCGTCCTGTGTTGGCTGCCGCTGCACGTGGGCAACATCATCAGGTTCGTAAAGGGTTATAGAGTTCGAACTTTGTTCCAACACACGGAAAAAACTCATCATAAATTGTTTGGTCGTTCTCGTCAACCTTCGTCAGATGTATGATGCTCTAGGTGGGTGGGAGATTCCGTCTTCCTGCCACTTTTGATGCACTCCTGACGTCATCACGTTTCCAACTTCCGGAGTGTCAGCGAGTGCATCACACATGTGACGAAGGTTGACGAGATCGACTGAAAATTTATGGTGAGTCACTTACTTGTGTTGGAACAAAGTTTGAACTCTATATCTATGGATTATACCAACAGAGATGAGCTTTCATTCGAAGGCTCGTAAATAATTTCATCAGGTTGGTAAATGATTGAATGGCAAAGTCCTTTTATTCACAACCACTCGTTTTACATGAGCCGACACTTTGATGACCATCTGTCATCTTCATTAGGGCTAAAATGACTGGTTCACTGTGCACTGGAGCTATCTAGGTGTTACATGGTTCACTTTGCACTGAAGCTAGATGTTACGAGTAACAATAAACCGTGATGAGGGAGGTATAAACTCAGTCATGTTTGGGACCACATCCTTAACAACTGATAATTTTTTTTATTACTATATTTTTAGTTTAATTTTTTCAATGATTATTGTGTTATTGTACTATTATCATGTAGCTCCAGCGCACAGTGCACTAGCCCTGATGACGGTGACAGACGTGGTGTATTAGTGAAAAGTGTGTAAAATCAACATGGCATCTACACTACTGCCATCAAATTACTAACATCATACATCCAAATGTCACGATACATTTACAAGTGCGAGAAGACCGAGGAAATAACTTTACGATGGTCACCGAATCGTCGGCTCGTATAAAACGAATGGTTGTAAATGGTTTTGATGGCCCTTCCAGTGATACCACATAAGATAACCTCATATGATCTTGCGTTATATATATTTCCTCACATATTGTAGTTTTCCTTATGACCCCTGACCTCCAAAACAGTATATCATCATTATCTCTGCATACGTTTATTATGCTTTGTACTTAAGTATGTTGTAATTTTATATTGTTAATTGATTGATCTTAGCTTAATGTGGTAATTGTTAGCTTATTAGTATGTTATATTGTGTATGTTTAATTTGTGTATGTTTAATTTGGCACCCGAAATCAGCCATGCTGCCTGGCTAATGTATTGTCTTGTTGCAATTGAATAAAATAGTTGTGAATAAAAGAACTATCCTGTCCTCAGGTTCGTCTTCGGCTTCAACATCAACGCCACCGTCTGGTACTTCCTGAACGTCATCGCCGACGTCAACAGCTGCGTCAACCCGTTCCTGTACGCGCTGCTGGGGCAGAACTTCCGCGCCACGCTCAAACGCACGCTGTGCGGCTCCGCCTGCTGCCCCGACAGTTGTCGGCCGTAAGTGTGCATGCAGTTGTGACTTCTCGGGCATGCATGTGTGGTGGATTCGTATTTAGTTGCCCGGTCGCATATACGTCGTACGATCGTCTTGCGATCAAAGTCTCAAAGCATTCATGATAGTCGTTCATATGTCCTGTACAGCCATCTGTCTCGTTACGAAAAAGGCTTCCGAAAATAGTTTCATCAGGTTGGTGGAACATAGGATAAAGGGATTTTCTTTTGCACAACCAGTATTGTCTCTTACCTTGCGTGCGCTTCGGTATCTATCAGACTCCTACATTGGTTACATATAGTAGCGAGAAGCAGAACTTCAGTCAGAAGCTCTGAGGAAGGTGCCTGACCATGATAGACACAGAAACGTAAGGTAAGAGGCAATACTGCTTGTGCAAAAGAAAATCCCTGTATCTTAATGAAAAGGCTGTCTTAGACCCTTGTCACTGGTTGGTTTTGTTACAAACTGCTTGAAAATTCAATGACATCAAGATCGTATGATGACCTACGACGAATGTGACCGCGCCGTTACATACATTGTGATGGTCATTTCGTCAGAATGACAGCAACATATGGCTTCACAAAGTAGGTTATTAGACCATATAAGAACATCATTTATCTTTTCAATCATTCTTTAATTGATTATTACCTCCGGGGAAGGAGACATCCTTCCGCGGAAGGGTTTTGTAAGAGATTTAGATTTTCATGTTCGCAGCTGTTTCTCGCGTTTGGGTGGACGGATTTTTTTGGGACTCGGTATGTTTTGCTATTGGGCTGTAGATGATGCACGTTTTTTTATGTGTTTTTCTCTTCATTATATTAATGAAAATTTGTCCCAGGGCCAGGAATACTAAATCCAGTTCCTTACCCAAGAGGCCAGTGTTTAACAAAGGCTGCACCTGGCATATTTGATTAATCTTTGATTAAGGGATTAACAATCTCTGAGGACTCATACATCAATCCATTTTATGAAAACGATGTGTAAGCCTCTGGCAGGGCTGGAGTGTAGTGATATTCCTATGGGCAATGGTAATTTACGGAAGCTATAGTTGTAGAACGGTATAGCTCTACAAAATGACCGGTGCTGCAATAGCTCACTTGGTAGAGTGCTCGCTTTGTAACCGGGAGATCGTGAGTTCAAACCCCGGCCGGGTCATACCAAATGGTAACACTTCTTTCTCGCTTAGCACTTAGCATGAGAAAGAGTGTGGGAAGGTCAAACACACAGCACTACCAGCGGATTAGCCCCCTGCTGTAGTGAATTGCACAACTGTGTGTCGCCCAAGGGCTACAGAAATGGATATGGGCACCACCCCTATGCTCTGCAATAGAGTGGAACGGGACCTGTATCTCTACAAAGAACTGGCAAGCCCTCCAAAACAGTAGCCGAATCTTAAAATCTCCTGCTAATTCGGACCACGTATGCATTAGATGAAACAAGCCGCATGGTGAACCAACCAGGACTTCCTAACAAATAGTTACTTACTAATAGGCAAACTGTCATGAAGTGATTCAGTCCACGTTATTGCGAGTGGATTAATCATATAAAACAAGAGGATTTTAATGCATTGCAAGAAACTTTATTACTTTTAGTAAGGACAGGAAATAAGTTGCTCATTATATGCAAGCAACTCTTATAAGAGTTGCTTACATATAATGAGCAACTATAATTTTGTGCTCGCTTTGTAACCGGGAGGTCGTGAGTTCAAACCAGGGCCGGGTCATACCAAAGACTTTAAAAATGGTACACATTTCTTTCTCTGCTTAGCACTCAGCACATATGAGAAAGAGTGTGGGAAGGTCAAACACACAGCACTACCAGCGGACCAGCCCCCTGCTGTAGTGCATTGCATAACTGTGTGTCGCCCGAGGGCTACAGAAATAGATATGGGCACCACCCTACGCTCTGCATAAGGGCACGGAGACCTTACTTTCTTTTCATCTATAATGACAATTAATGATCATGAATCTGTTTGCATGCATGTATAATAATAGCATTAGTATATGATCTCTTGAATGTTGCGAAACTATTGTAGCAAACTGACAACGACAATGTTCATGTGGTGAAACGACCGATTACTTTTGAATAACTCGAAAAGAAGAAGAAAACTTCTGAGCTGCAGAGCAAGAGAGGCGAAGCTTCGTGGTAAAAGTACTCGAAAACACTTATGTCTAACTTAGTGACGTGACGACAATCTGAATCAACAAATCTGAGTTGCTAGCTGCCGCATGACGCATGTAATCCATTTATCAAACTCCGTCCGTAATTACCTTAAAGACGACGAGACGCAAACCGTCTTTAACGATCAATATTAAGCTCAATTTACGTAAGGCCATAGCATGTAAATGTTTTGGATGACATCCTCCGCAGATTCCAAATCTAATGCGAGCGGACGAAAAAAACAAGGCAGGCCGAAAAAACAAGGTTCTCAAATTTTGACTCAGTAATTGTACAAATGGTTTTGATTCAGTGGGAGCATCACATATACACAGCCAGCATCACATATCACTGCATCAAAGTAAAAAAAAAACATTGAATCAGAGTCTTTTCTTGTCTCCTCTCTTCATAGTTATCTGCTATTCACGTGCTGGCATGACAACAGACATACTAGCCCATTTTGACCACTGTCAGAGGGCAACAAAATTTCTTGTTTTTTTTTCCAAAATCAGGCGAAAATTAAATCGTGCGCTGATGTCATCCATAAAAATTACTTGCTGTGGTCTAACTCGCGTCATGCGTTAAAGCTCACATCGTCCTAACTGACATTTCCATTGAAATAGATAATTACAGTAGATAAAGTGTGCCAATAGGGTGAGGACGAGGATACGCCCGATATCCAAGGCACGTGAACTGCTAGTTAAACTTTGATTCACAGGCGGCAAGGGTAAAGAGGTTACTAATACGTGGTACTGTATGCTTCCAAATACGATGGTAACATAATATGGTCGAGACAGCCTAGGGAATCGGTTAATGACATTATTAGTTATAACCAATCCTGTCTGCACGTCAATGGTCAGATACGTTGAAAGGTAATTACGTTTCAGGATTGGCTGTTAGGACTGGATGGTTAGTTTCGGGTGGACGGTTTTACCCTTTCGGCAAAATAGGTCAATTGCTGACTAATGAGTCGTTAACCTCATTCCAAAAACTAAGAAGTAATTACCCTTTCTTATTGGTTAAGCCATGTTGATTTGATTATATGGATGACATCCGCGCGCGCATGAATTTTCGGCCGTTTCCAACAAAAAAGTTTTCAACCATACTGTAAATCGTACAAAACAGTTGCAAAATGAGCAAAAATATACCATAAGTTGCAAACAAAATTAATAAAAACTATACCAATGTCGTAGAATGCCAAAATCAAACGAAAAAAGACGAAATTGTAAAGAAATGAACTTGAAGACTAGATTATTCGCCAAACCATATTCTGTGCCATTTGCTCAACCCTCATGACCACGTAGATTTCATAATGAAAAGAACTTTTTTTTTTCAAAACTTTTTTTTATTCGCACGCGCGCATCAGTTTTGGGGCTCCCGGAGGATGTCATCCATATAATCAAATCAACATGGCCTTATGTGAATGAATGAACAGTCTCTGAATACAGAATAGGAATGAATTACGTTATAAATGTTACCCGAACTTTTCATATTGTTACAACAAACACGCGCCCAACTAAATCACGTACAACCAAGCCACGTACAACGAAGTCAGCCATATCAATCATTTACAACCAAGTCAAACAGGAATTAATTAAGTTATCATAAAAGAAATTCATTGCGCAACAGATGTAGCGGGTATAACGTATGGCAAAATATACATACATAGTTGGTGATGCTAAAAATCTCTAACAGTTCTACTAAATGTAGTAAGAATCTGGTCTACATTCATGAACAATGTATAACAATAAAGAGACACTAATTATACTAATCTAACTCTTGGTAGTAATATATTGTGTCAGGAATTTATCACATTTTCTCGTTTTGTCAGCCAATGGTGTATAAATTGGCCTACATAATTAGATATATTGACATGATAGTAGCATATTAAATATCTCTGTCTTTGTATCATAGTTACCCGAAGTTTTCATATACATGTAGTTACAAGTGAAACATGTCCAACCAAGTCACGTACAACCAAGACAAGTAAAATCATATCCAGTCCAACCAAATCAACCATATTTCATGATTTTAAGGATCCATTCCCCTCTGAAAAGCTACTATAGCATAAGTGATGTCTAGAGTATTCGCCTCACTCCTCAGTGGTTACTACTACTACAAATTGTTTTTTTGCCAATTCTAGCTTCCATCACCTTGATCTAAGGCCACACCAAGTACATATTATGGATGACGTCCGCGCGCGCATTGATTTTGGCCTGTTCCTAGAAAAAAAAACAAGAAATCCCGCTTCCTGTAACTATATAACAAAAGAGTCACGACAGTAACGCAAAACGTTAGATTGACGTGAAACCGTTACCCGTCACGCGAAATGGGTAAAGAGCACATGCTTTGTTTCTGCAGGCCTGCAAAAATGTGATAAAAGAAACAGGACAGGACGGCAACTGCTGTTCCACCTGCTTTATTGATGTTTTGATGATGAATAAAAGACTGTTTGCTCGTTTATCTGTGTCACTTCATTCAATTTGTGTCCTAACATTTGTCGTCTCTTAGTATATTTCTAATCTAGGCATCTTGTTTTTTAGGGCCCTTCTTGTTTTTTTTCGCCCTCTCGCATTAGATATAGGGTCTCCAAAGGACGTCATCCATAAAATTTACTTGGTGTGATCTAACAGAGAAGTCCGATCCTATCTTCGCCGGTGAAAGAAGTTGCACATGACAAGCGTACCAAGTGACTGTCTTATTAACCCAACATGCCCGCGGCTATTGAATGAGAAATCAGTAAGTGAAGAGGAACGGAAGTCTCTTCAATCAAAGTAACTATTTTCTTTACACCTGTCCACAGAGAATCATTAGCATGGGACTAAAGGGCACCGTGCCCTGGATAGTTCATTTCAAGCAACATTGCAATATTCTGTGTTAGGATTATATCATGTTGTATCAGGTTGTAATAGTGACATATACTATCTGTTATACAAATTACTTGGATGGGATCCCGAATTAGAGCAAATCTTAACTTAAAGCACGCAAAAAGATGGTTCTTTTTTCGGTGAACGGAATAACAGAACGTTTTCGGATGCTTTAAAGGCATTCAATGCAGTTTGTAGGGCTTAGAAACCCGATTTTTCAATAAGTCAATATTCCAGTCACTTATATTTATCTACATACTGAGTTGAAACCACATCATCCCAATATATATTGACTCTCGTCAAGATACCCAAAATTCTTACATTAATGGTTACTGGAAGGGCCCTGGGCTTATTTTTAGGATACCACAAAATGAAATAAAGAACTCATCTTGGGGCTTGTTTCTTGTTTTAAATGCCCAAACTATATGAAATACTGATTCAAATGTGCTAATGTGAAACAGTATCTGTCGGTATCACACAGATTGCCTTATTCAGAATATTTCCAGTTTTGCTCCTCTGAAATCGCATTGGATGCTTAAATATCGAATCTTATGCAGTACTTATTCACAATCTTTCTGAAATATTTTCTACTTTCAAACCTATCATCATGGCATCATCGTATATTGACGAGAGCAGTCCATTTATTAAAAAACAAGTTCAAGGAATATTTTCTTGAAGCGTCGTGCTTTTCGCGATGACGGAACCTGGGTCGCAGTGTGCAAGGTTACTCTAAGTCATGAGTGAAAGGAAATTTGATAAAGTCGTACTGTGTTCGTCAAAGTGGCTGGAGGTGCGGGTAGATATACGGCGCCTTTCATGAGCTGATGACCACACGACCCCACGCATTTTGAAGTGACGCCATTTGAGGTGAATGCACCATTAGAACCCCACTCAGTAGAACAGAGAGACTTAGACAGTCATTTATTCCTTGATCTCTAAAAATCATGCTGCAGTGCTAGTTGTAAAATACATCTGCAGAGTGCAGATGACGTATGTCTAATGTGTCTTGCTCCTTGTTTTAATGTTTATATATATATATATATATATATATATATATATATATATATATATATATATATATATATATATATATATATAG